CCCCGCTCAAAAGAATCGAACTTATGATCCCTTCTTGCAATGGTGAGGGGCCTACTGTTACTATACCATAGATACTGGTAGGCCTACCTACGGTCAATTCAGTAAGTAAAACGTCTAGATCGTGAACAGTCTCTAACTTCTTCCATCACCCTTCGATCTCCACCTTTGTCTTCTCTTAAATTCTGACATTAAAAGGCTAACGTTCCATGACATGTGCAACACTGAAAAAGTAGGGCACTTCAGACTAATGAAAGATAAATCAAGACGAAAATGAAAAAATCATCATCCAGTGCCAGATCTGCAACAGACATCGGCGATCATGGTTCTCCTTTCATTCCTTTGCTCGGATGCTCTTAAAAAAAAGCTACGTTTCCCTGGTCTTTCCCTGTTGCCCATTTGTTTAGGGTCCCTAAGTATGTTGTTCTGGGCCTACCCCTGCCTCGTTTGCCTTCAATTTTGCCAGTGAGAGCTAGATGTTCAAGACCCTCATGTCTTTTCAGGTGTCCCAAAAACTGCATATTTGTCGTTTCCTGATTGTTTTTAACATTGAGCGTCCCACGTGGGCAAAAATGAAAATACAAACTTACAATTCCGGTACAGGCGATGACGTCATGACATTTTGTGCGGTCGTGGCGACCCAGGCCAGAGAGCTGGCGCCGTAGACGGTAGCCTGGGAGGTCATGTTACTGGTCAGCCATGTTGTGGTCATGTTGGACACAGCGCCCTCTACAGGGCAGAAGTCGGTGGAAGCGGGAGGTAACCAGGGTGTGACCTTTTTCTTTTTGGAGAAACTTTGGCCCATGGAGATCCAGCTGGAAAGCGCAAAACTCATGAGGCCCCCGACAAACGTTCCCTGTTGTAGATGGTGAAGGTCAAGGTTAGGCTTACAGTGTCACAGACTTACGATACCATAGACTTACGATATCAGTCTTATGATATTACCTGCTTACGATATCACTGACTTACGATATCTTTTGATATCACAGGCTTACGATATCACAGACGTACGATATCAGTCTTACGATATCACAGTCTTACGATATCACAGACTAACGATATTACAGTCTTACCATACCACAATCGTATAATATAACAGACTTACGATGCCATAGTCTTACGATGCCCTACTTAAAATAGGGCATCACCTTACTCTGTTGCTCAGCGGTGAATACATCTCGTTTGGATAGTATGTCTACCTACTTGAAGTAGAAGCCTTTGGGCTACACAATCTCTTACTACCTCGACAGAGTTAACAACATCCTAGACTGACAATTTTTGTGTACATTAATGCTGAAGCTCTTCGTTGTTGCAGATTTTTTCCGTACCCAGACCCTGCCACCCCCAAACAAAACAAAACAAAGTAAAACAAAACAACC